TATATCTTTCTTAAAATTAACACAGTTCGATGAATAAAAATGTATTTAACTATTTATGTACAGATAAAAACCCAATTACAATTAATAAAAATTTTGTATACGAGAATGTACCTAAATAGAAAAACAAATAACATTAGTAAAATAATTGCATTCGATATAACAACAGTTTTAGCAGACTATATCTCAATTTCAAAAGATAATTATATTAAAGTCATTCAACTTCTTTACATTTGATAAGCTTAAAAGATTAAAATGCATCCAACAATCATGATTGGTAATGAGTATACTTATGAGAAAACAATTTGAACATTTACTAAACATTGATTATACAAATCTTTGAAAAAATAGACAAAAGCCAGTATAACATTCAAGCTTAGATCTGACTAAAGAAACAAATAGTGTTGATAACACATAAGGGTCCGAGAAGTCCTTACATAATATTCATATTCTTGTAATTAATAAAACCTAAAATCAAGGAAATAATAATAATAATATAATCAAGGAAGATTGATTTTAATAAGATAATATAGATCAGATTTATTGTTAATAATTAATATTATACTCAAAAGAAAATCGGTTATATTTTAATTGTAAAGTATTGGGTTGGTACCATGAGACCTTGGGAAGGTTTTGTGCCCATTACCTATACTATTATACAATTATTACACAATGAGATCAATTTAGAAAAATACCTTTTGCTTCAAAACAATTTTATTTTATTTTATTTACACGCTATAAGGAAGCGATCATATAGAACAAGCATCGAGTAAAAAAAAATTCTTTGATATGTGTCAACCGTATTTGATATGGTTGACATGTCGACACCGATCCCAAATTAAACGTGTCGATCATCAATGCCAATAATACATTTAAATGATCAAAAGCCAAAAGGCCGAMCTTTGGGTCGATGTTCGTTCTCACTTGTGACTATACAGTGAATATACAAATATATATATATATATAAAAAATGTATTATTGAAGTTTAAAAGCAATCGTTGAACAATTATTGAATCAACGCAGATGAATTATAGTTTTTCTTTCTCAATATAAATCGGAACATACCTCGGGGACACCGAGTAGGCAATTCAACAGACATATAAACGTCGATTTTAGTTCACGGCGCGGTACGTGAAAACCAAATTGATTCGTAAACCACGAAAATGAACCTTTTAAGATCATCGACAATAGCATATAATTTATTCAAAAACCAACTACATATTTAAAAATGTATTATTGTTTTAACTTTAACTTACGCGGAAAAAAATTATTGTAAACTTCTTGTTCATTAAAATTATGTGGGTGTGGTGGCGAAGCTCTCTTCATCGAAATACTTCCAGGTCGCTTATGGTAATGACTTCCATGTAGTCTTTTTATAAGTTTTATCGTTAATTGTTAAAATCTATAAAATAAATATGAATTAATTTCATATAATATAAGTATCAATATTTAATATATACAATAATAATTATACCATCGTGTGCTTTATCTACACTATCTACATCTACACTAATATTATAAAGAGGAAAGATTTGATTGTTTATTTGTATTGAATAGGCTCCAAAACTAGTAGATTGATTTGGAGAACAATATATTAGAAATGTACAAGCTCGCGCTAGAGAACCGAGTCCTGAGCGTTCCGAACGCCTTTGGAATCAGAGAGAAAGACAACAGACGTCAACGGCTTGAGTTTTAGATCGAGTTTCAGATAYCGGCGTGGGTGAATCGCACTTACTGCTGCAAGTTACATCCAAAAAGATTTGAGCAATCACAATTATTTAAAAGGTTGTCATTTTTAAATACACTTGTTTAATATAATACCTACAAGTACCTATATGTATATGTAATTGTATTATTT